TAGAAAGATTGCAGAGAAGAGCAACAAAGATGATTAGGGGACTGGAGGCTAAAACATATGAACAACGGTTGCAGGAACTGGGTATGTCTAGTTTAATGAAAAGAAGGACTAGGGGAGACATGATGGCAGTGTTCCAATATCTCAGGGATTGCCACAAAGAAGAGGGAGTCAAACTTTTCTCCAGGGCACCTGAGGGTAGAGCAAGAAGCAATGGGTGGAAACTAATCAAGGAGGGAAGCAACTTAGAACTGAGGAGAAATTTCTTGACAGTTAGAACAATCAATCAGTGGAACAGCTTGCCTCCAGAAGTTGTGAATGCCCCAACACTGGAAGTCTTTAAGAAGATGTTGGATGGCCATTTGTCTGAAACGGCATAGGGCTTCCTGCCTAGGCAGTTGGACTAGAAGACCTCCAAGGTCCCTTCCAACTCTGCTATTGTATTGTATTGTATTGTATTGTATTGTATAAGAGCAATTTTGTATATGCAGTACAATGCAATGAGACATGTTCAGACCTGTACATTGGGGACATCAAACAACAACTTCACAAATGCATGGCACAACACAGGACAGGATTCAGCAGTAAATCTGCCTCTGAAAGACAAGGGTCACTCTTTGGAAGGCAGCAAGGTTCAGATTCTGGACAGAGAATGACCATTGGTTTGAAAAGTGAGTCAATGAGGCTATATATACATATATTAAAACTGAACAGCCCTCCCTCAACAGAGGGGGAGTGATGTGACACCACCTATCTCCTGTTTACAACACAGTACAACACATAGCAAGAAGGACTTGGAACCCTTCCAAGAAAGCTCCACACCCATTTGCACTCTGAGGATACTGTTAATCCCCCAAGTGGCCTCAACGACTGATGACTGCAAAGAATATAAATCCTTCCATTCCGCCCCAGGAGTCAGCAAAATGTTGTCAAAGGGGAAGGGGCATGCCTTTTATTGCGGGGGGGGGGGAGCAGTTTTGGGATAATCCACATTCATATAACACCCATTCCATCTATTGATTTACCACACATATTTTTTAAATTTCTGCAATGTTCAACTAATTTGCATGTTGAGGGTAAAGGTTCGCTCTCTGAGCTTGTGGGTTGGTTTCCAAACGTTTCATTACCAGGCTAGGTAACATCTTCAACTGACACAGTGACCTACAACCAGCCTACAAACCCCTCAAATCCAAATCAACCACACAGCCAACCAGAGACAGTTCCAACCTTCAACCACCTCATGCAATTTCCCCTCCCCAGCTCACACACACCAGCAGTTCACCTCCAAACGACCCTGAACCTGAGGTAATATCACAAGACCCATCACAAGACTCACAGATGACTCATCACAAGACCTGTCACAAGATCCTCACTTGACACACCCATACCTAAGCCCTTATAAACAGAACACTGACACTGACATCCCCTAAACTCTGTTGAAGATGTTATGTACCCTGGTAATAAAACCTCATCCTACACCTGAGCTACAGATATTCGCCACTATACTAATTTGTATGTTTTCATGACATATTCAGTTCTGTATAACAAAAATGAAGGCAGAGGTACACTCCTGTACCCAACCATTTTGGCTTCTTCTGAGGACCATATACTCCTTAGAAGAAACCACATATTGCTCACCACTTTTCTCCTATCCATCTTCCTATCTGTAATAAACATTTTAGTAGGTGCTCCAGTTTTCCATTACTGTGTAACATTTTCATTTTATGTTCTCAAACACAATTACCTTGGTCTTTAAGACATTCACTTTTCAGACACGTAATACTTATACAATTTATCTAACATTTGCTATAAATCAATCTCAATCTGGCATCATACAAAAAAGTATGCACAAATTCATATTCCCAATAAGCACATCTCTAATGTTTAACACACATATTTTTTATTTCTTATGTCTTTGTTTATTATACATCTTGGTCTTATATTCTGCTCATTGTTGAGTAATTTACTAAGCATTCAATTTATTTTCACCCATACCTACTTCTATCCTGTACCATTCTTACTCCATTTAGCAACTTACTTACAACTCTGTATGTATTCATCCTAAACATTCTACAATTTCAGCCTCTTCGCTTTATCACGTCCTTTCTCTAACTCAAACAGAACAATAGTTTGTTTCTTTTTCATACCTAGCTCATATTTTCATTTCCTTGAGTCACTCAAGCTTTAGTCTACTTTCTTTCATGTAGTTCCTTTTCCTGGTATTGCAACTGCAGAAATTGCTATATGCTGTGCTAATTGGTTGATGCAAAAATTATACTGTTTATGTAAGTAAATCAAAGATGGGCAACGTATGACAGAAAAACTAATGACATAAGCCACTGATATTGGCAAAATAAAAATTAAAGACATACTTTGCATCTCTGCAGGTTCTACATGCTCTTTTTCCCCAGAAATATCTTCTGTTACATTCAATGAATCCAAAGTCTCTTCAGGACTGGGGGGAATTTTATTTTTTAGTTCTACTATTGCTTCAAGTATCTTCTCACTGCTATCCAGCGTAGTAGGCAGAAAAATTGGAACCGGGACCTAGAATATAAATCATAATATTGTAACTTTGCTAAGGGCCGTTATCAAGTGAAATACAGAGAAGAACTGGATAAAGCCTTTGTAGCATTTAATGGTATTTTAAAATATCCATGTTATTGTATGTACCCCTGAACCGATGATGGGGTTTTGGTATGAAAAGTACCTTCTGAATCCTAGCCTACTTACAATAGCATAAACATGCATGGGGTCAAACATTAGTTGCGCTTGTAGCAGACTGGCCCTAATCAGTACAATAAATACAATAAATAAGTAGGGAATTATGCTACCTCTGGCAAGATAGCTAGGCTGATTGTTTAGACCACGTCTGTCAAATTTGCGGCCGATGGGCCAGATGCATCATGCACTGGCCACGGCCATGCCCTGTTTAGCAAAGGGGGGGGGGGAGTCCTGATACATCACGTGAGGCTGCCATGAAACTGCAAGTTTGACATCCCCTGGCTTAGACTGCATCTTCCCTGAATTTATAAAAATTACAATCAAAGTATTGTGAAAGCATTAATTAACCAAAGCTCCGATTTCATCTGAGTAGCTATAGACAGATCTATTTATGATGTAGAATGAGAAGTAGAAGAGAAATAATGATAATATATTAACAAATTAAATGAATAGAAGAAAAATAGATGTGTGGTGAGTCTATAAAACTAACAGAAAAGGGATTGATATAGTGCATATGAGTACTGATAGTCTAATCTGGTGGAGTGGTTGATGAAAAATGCAGAGAAGTGAAGATGCAGGCTTAACTATGAATTAAACATGTATATATCAGAAAATATGAACGGCTGTCACCTAGCTTGTTTCAGGCATTTATAGCAATAACAATAGCACTTGTATATCGCTCCATAGTACTTCCAGCATTCTCTGAGAGATATACAAATGTCAGCTTATTGGCCCCAACAATCTGGGTCCTCATTTTACCAACCTCAGGCCAATCCCTGATCACCATTTTATCCCTGGGATGATCTTCATAGATCCCTCTTGATCTTGCCTGCTGTTCTATTACTTTTTTTAAAAAACAGATTCCCCTTCTGGGGCCTGGCCCTTTCACTTTTTGTTTGCTCTGTGTTGTATAGTAAACCTGAAGCCAAGATGAATTACACTAGGATAAGTTTACTATATTTTTCACTCCATAAGATGCAATCCCCACCCTCACCCCAAAAGTGAGTGGAAATGTCTGTGCATCTTATGGAGCGAATATTGTCTCAGCGCCGCCCTGAACAGCTGATCACAGTATTCCGGAAGGCTGATCCAACCACCGATCAGTTGCTCAGTGGCAAAAGCTCCAGCATTCCCTGGTGGAGGCAGCAGACATGAGGAGGCAGCAATGGTAGCATTTCCGGTCAGCCAGCCAGCTGATCGGCAGGGCTACGGGAGGCCAGGATCCAGTCGTCGCTCAGCTGACTGGTGGTGGATGCGTCTTATGGTCTGGTGCGTCTTATGGAGCGAAAAATATGGTAATTCCAGCATCTCCCAAGCATTTCCTCAAGCAAGGAAGCCAGGAATGCTGGTATGGTGGATTTTGATAAAACCAAGAGAGAGAGAAATGAAATTCAAATGTAGACTGAAACCTAGCTTACTGGAACAGGAACCGTTGTAGGAACAGGAACAGTTTGACTATACATATGCATAGGAGCAGGTACATATACAGGTACAGGAACAGGCACGGGGACATATTCTTTCTTCCAGTCATCATCTACAATAAAAGACAATTGGTAATGTTACTTGCCACCACTGCATACATCTCATAAAGTGACCCAACCAGAGGTGGTATTCAGCCAAATTTTGAATAGTTCGGAAAACCAGCAAATAGGCTGGCTCCACCCCCACTGCCTCCCAGCCAATCTTCTTTTGTTGCCCTGAACAGGAGAATAGAGGTGGGAAGCATGTTAGTGGGGTGGGAAGGGAATGGAGATTTTGCAGTAACCTTCCCCCAGGAGTAGGGAGGGAATGGGAATTTTGCAGTATCCTTCCCCTGCCACGCCCACCAAGCCTCACCCATCAAGCCGGCAGTAATTTTGTTTTTAAATCCCACCACTGTACCCAACCGTAAATGTATACTCTGACAGAACGCCATACATAAGAACTTCTATTAAATAAATACCTGTCTGACAAGATTTTGTTTGCATGTGGGGTTTACAGAAGGTAGCTTTTGTCATCGTTAGCGGTTTGCAGAGAACTGCTTTGTTCTTCATTTCTTTATTTGGTGTAGGGGAAGGAGGTGGGGCTGATCCCTGCAGATTTATTAAAAAAAGTAAATTTTAGGAATTGCAAATGATAAATTATATTTCAACTTCTTTTTCAGGAAGGAAGATTCATTTGAGAGAAAGAATCCATGAAGGAAAGGAGAAAACTTCTCAAAATCCTTAGCTAACTATTTTCAAAACTTAAGACCCTTAATTTATCGTTTTAAATGGAGAATAATGGGTTCTAAACAAATTAGCTACTTAAAATTATTACAAAAGCGATTACTACACAATTTATTCATTAAGATAAATATGTTTCTTGTTGTTATTTGCAACTTTGTATTTGTATGTTAGCTCAACAATTTCACATTTATATATTGATCACTGAGAGCCATATAATATCAAAGTATAAATATACAGTCTTCTCACTGTAACTCATATCAGTTTACAATATTGAAAATACCCATGAAGGAATACAACCTGTCATATCTTGTCATATTTTTTAAATGTACAGGATATGCATCCTAGCAGATAATGAGGAATTCTATGGGTTAAGACAGAAAATAGTATACAATTCCCCTCAGGGTGTGAGGTATTTTGTTATCCTAGCTACAGATTTTGAATACTTTAAGATTCACTTACTGTGTTTTTTGTTCGGGGAGTTTGGCAGCTTTGATCTATAAACAGAAGATAACAACTTTAACATAATTTGTTACTTACAATAATTTGTAGCTGATAAATGCCACAATATCTTATCCTAGTCATGCTAGGTTTATAGATTACCCAGTAAAAGATTAAACAGTAAGCTATTGTCAAAACAATTAATTTCATAAGTGTGGGGAAAGTGGCATGCTCACCTTTCTGTAGAAGAAAAAATGGTAAACTATGTAGCCAGATTGTTAATTATACTAGCCAATTTCATCTAATGTGTGATAATCTAGACTTTCAGTAATCCTATCTCCTAGGTTGAAGTAAAGTATGCTCTGTTATCTGATATTAGAAAAGAGAAGACATGACAGCAGTATTCCGATATCTCAGGGGCTGCCACAAAGAAGAGGGAGTCAAGCTATTCTCCAAAGCACCTGAGGGCAGGACAAGAAACAGTGGGTGGAAACTAATCAAGGAGAGAAGCAGCTTAGAACTAAGGAGAAATTTTCCTGACAGTTAGAACAGTTAATCAGGGGAACAACTTGCCTCCAGAAGTTGTGAATGTTCCAACACTGGAAGTTTTTAAAATGTTGGATAACCATTTGTCTGAAGTGGTGTAGGGTTTCTGGGGTTGGACCTCTAAGATCCCTTCCAACTCTGTTACTCTTATTCTATTCTATTCTATTCTATTCTATTCTATTCTATTCTATTCTATTCTATTCCTGATTTTATAAGCAATGTTTTACAGATTAGAGACAGATCTTGCAGCCTTTCATTAGTGCTAAAAAATAATAATAATACTTGCGCAACTTCATTTTGCACAAATCAATCACCTTGAGAGTCTAGGATTGATGGTAAGGTAGCGATCAGGCATCACACAATCAGCAAATGTGCTTCAGGATTGTTCATAGTAGTATTGCAAAGGACATTCAGGATCAAAAACTCAGTTTCATGTTGCAGCTGTTTCACCGTCTCTAGCACCATTAATTCTACAGGTATGTTTAGTGCAATCCTTCAGATAATAATATGCCCACCTTAATGTCATTTTACTCTTAACAATTGCAAGTTTGAATATAAATCAAAAGGAAAACATTTGCTATTCAGATACAGCCTCAGAAGAACTTATTTCACATGGCTTGGGAAACTATGCCCATGGTTTATCTCCACTGGAGGTTTTTAAGAAGATGTTGGATAACCATTTGTCTGCAGTGGTGTAGGGTTTCCTGCCTAAGCAGGGGGTTGGACTAGAAGACCTCCAAGGTCCCTTCCAACTC